TCTGTGAACCCTTACTTTAAGAAATGTGTAATTCTGGGTCTGTATTTACTGAGTAGATGGTGTGCTGGGTAGCCATCGCTATTCAGATACTGCAGCACTGAATTTTAGGTATGGACTTGTATTTGTAGTGTCTGGTATCTAAATGTTTCTGTATGTTGGATGACTGAGATTTGTGGTTGCTGCTCAGCAGTCATTCAGCTAAAATTTCCCAGGCAGTGATGTCAGCCACAGGAAAAAGCTCTTCTCAAAATAGTTTCCCACTCTAAGACAAAGCCCTCATATTTTAAACATTTTAAAAGAGGGTTTAAAATATTCAAGTATTGTGATTAAAAAAAAAAAAAAAAAAAAAATTATTCATTTTGTTCTGAACTTGAGAATTGCATTCTGTGCATCTGAAGAGCACAGAGCAGATTAGTGGTGAAAGAAAAATGATGTCAGTTTCTAGTATGGAGCCAATTCTGCTGGTTTGGTCACACGGATGTAACTCTAACAAGAGCTGGGTTTTCTCCTGGAGGCTCAAGAAATGTAAGATATGCACCTCTGCTGTCATCCCCTGAAGGATGAGAAGCTTGTCCTGCTGATGCCCATCTTGTGGGTACAAATGCTCTGCATTAGGTATCTCAGATTCACATTTTCTCCCAGCATCAAACTGACACAACCTGTAATGCTCTTCTCTTTTTCTTTCAGAAAATAAGGCCAGACAGTGAGGTACCTGAAGTACGTGAAAAAACAAATTCTGAAGTGCCTAATGCTGCTGTGACTGTCACAAACAACTCTGATTTAAATGACTCAAGGGAGATAAACTTTGAGTACCTTAAACATGTTGTACTAAAATTCATGTCCTGCCGGGAGTCTGAGGTAAAGCATCCTAGGAGGACGGGTTGGTACGCTCGTCTTCTCATCTCTGGTACCTGGCAAGAATGCCTGTATGCCAGCTGAGGATTTTTGCATGTGAAAAGAAATTGACTGAGTGAGGCAGCACAATAAAGCAAAACAGCAGCATGTTTGGGAGTACAGATCATTAGGAACTAAGTGAAAGGTAGGAGGTAGTTATGTCTAGAAGTTAAAGAGCTGAAGCTGCTCTGTACTATTCTAAAAAGCATATGGAGTATATGTGATTATAAAGTAGCTGTATGTTTAAGAAAGATAGCAACAGAAACCAGAAAGGACATAAAGCACGTGCTGTTGAGGTGTCATAAGAGATAATTCCTTGTGCACTTGAAGCTCCTTTATATTCTCTAAGTTGTGTTGAAAAGGTTACAGGTAGAAAGAAGTCATGCCAAAATATGCTTTTCTTAACTGTAGGTCAAGACAGTAGGTAGGATGAAGAAATAATTGTGCAGCTCCGTGGTATCCGGAGTGTTTGACTCCTTTAGTAGCTCTGCATGATGTATCCTAGTGCTGCGCAGTTGGTACGTTGTGTATGTAAAGCAGCATGATTCTGACCTGTGCATGCTGCTACAACTTTTTAGAACTTAAAAACAAACAATTACCACAGGATGCTGTAGGGGAAATATGCAAGCTGAAGAAAGCTAGGAAATGCAATCAGAAGAAGAAAGATACAGGCTGCCCTGGTCCATTGTAAGAGGGCATAGGGAAAGGTTTTACTGTTCTGCTCTTTGCAGTTGTAACTAAAAAGTCTGTGACTAAGCCTGCAGAAAAAGTGTTGCACTGTAGTCCAGAACACAGAGGCTGAGAGCATCATAAGCACTGTGGTTTCTTTCAGGCATTCCATCTTATTAAGGCTGTATCTGTTTTACTGAATTTTTCCCAAGAGGAAGAAAATATGCTTAAAGAAACATTGGAGTACAAGGTAAGGATTCTGTTGCGCCTGTAACCTATAACTGGATTTGCAGCAAAAGATGTGAACGCTCTTAGATGCTGGGAGGTGCTGAAAAGTAGCTGTTCCTTCCAGATTTAATCATGTGAAACAATTTGCATTTTCACAATCTGAACTCTGCAGAGTTCTGTTTTATAAATAGTTTCTGTCACTTGGTGGGGAGATGCAGATACACTGTACTCTTGTTCAGATACACTGTACTCTTGTTCCAGTCTCCAGCTTCTTGTAAGTGTGAACCTAGCATGATATGTATTGTGCTTTCCTGTCCTAGATGTCATGGTTTGGGTCAAAGCCATCTCCTAAAGGCAGTATCCGGCCCTCTATCTCAAGCCCAAGGACGCTGTGGTCTTAAGGGATCCTGAAAATGGGCAGTCAGCATCTAGCCACTGTTTTTTCTGTGAAAAGAACACTGGACACACCACTTCAGGTGTGTCTTAATCACTGTCATTGCAGTATTTTGTACAAGAACTTTGACACTGTTTACAAAAGTAATGCTGTGCAAGGAGAAACTTTCACTACAAACTGACACCTCTTGCGGGCTGGGATCAGGGACCTTTGGATGGTCTCTCAATGGAAGTCAGCTCCTTGTGCTCACCAGACCTGTTATCTTGGCACCAAAGGATAATGTTAACCTCACTGACGTGGGTGCAGGCAGTTGGAGCTTCTAACGCACGCACCTGCTGTGGTGGTGATTCCAGCTTATGTTAGGAGTGCGAGGGTTGAATAACTCCAGACACAGTAAAGCTTCCTTGTCTCATTGTGGAAAGCGGTGGGGAAAAAATTGTTGGCAATACTGTGCTGAATTTTTGACAGTTTGAAATGACTTTCAAAGGACAGGAGCAGGAGCTTTAACCAAAAAAGAAGTTTGCCTTGCCTTGTTACACTGACATAACTAATAGTCTGCATCTTTTCATATCACTGTGTAATATAAGGTGCATATATCCTGGCCTGCAGTCTTGAAGGCTGCACGTTGATCATGATTATTTAATTTGAGAGCACAACTTTAGAGTTGTTTACTGATTTTACTTTTCTTAAAGAAAAATAATATTTAAAATGGTCTTAATTATAGTACCTAATACTCAGTCGCCTTGAAAACCAATCTGTTAGTCTGTACCATGGGTTGTTAGCACTGGGAAGAAGGGGTAGTAAACCATTTTAAATTTTTAAAACTGATTTCCAGGTATTGTAAGTATACACTGAAAATACTTTTTATAATGAAAAAGAAAAAAGAAAAAAGATTGTATGTATATATATACACCTTGAAAGAGCGTGAATAATATTGGTACTAAGCACTTTGGGCTTTCTTCCTTAACAAGTCTGCTAGCAACAAGCTTTCATAACCAGTATCTTTTGTTGTGGTTTTGTAGTTCAGATGCTGTTGCTTATAAGCTGTTCTGAACATTTAGTGGTGTGACCTGTGTCTGACTACCTGACAAAAGACCACGGCTTAGGAGGCTTTTGTTTTTGAGGGCAAAACTGAACTCTTCACAAATCAGTCTTGGTTCTGCCTTAGGAAAAGGGAACTCAGCTGACAGTTTTGCCCTTCAGTTTTAACGCCACCACAAAATCTAGATGAATATAGGAAGCAGCAATCAGGCTTACTTCTTAAAACTTGGATGTATATCTATATATAAGAAATGCAATGCTGCTATTCTGGTAGTTCTTTTACAATGAGATTTGTGTTACTAACAAAGGTTTTTATTCAATATGTTAAAAAAAAAAATTCTACCTGTCCTGTAGTGGAGATGCAGTCACGTTCAGAGTCTGACTTAGCTCTGCTGACAGGAGACGTGAGCGACCTGGGTGGTGGTGGCAGGTGAGATACAGTGTTAGAGTTGCAGCAGAGCTGCTGTGAAGAGATAGAAGCGTTCTGCACGAGGTCAGCAGAGCAGCAAACGTGGGGCACATCTGCCTTAGGGGCCGGGCCTGTTTTTGAGGCAGCCGTGCCCAACCTGCTGATCTGCTGAAGTACACTCAGTAACATCAGCAGCACTCGTACACTGAGACTTGATCCGTGACACTTAACTGTACAGAATAGGGAAGTTTAGGGTAAGAGTGCAACTCTAATTTGAAAATAGACAATCAAAAAGTAGATTTGTTGGTTGTTCCTGTATTGAAACAAAGCAGGGGCAGGATAACCCTCCTGGGCCTCAGAAGGGTCTTTCTTTGGAGCGTCTCCTTGCCCTGACCTGCTTCTGTGTGACCTGAGGCCAGAGGGTAGGATTCTCCCTAGTCACACCGCTGCAGGTTGAGTGACAAATTTGGTTTCAGTTGTGCCTGGCTTGAACGGTTACTGCTGTACAGTAACAAATGCAGTGCAGGCAGCCTGCAAGACAGAGTGATGCATACATTTTAATTATATATTGACTAATGCAAACAGTTTAGCATCCCAAAGCTCATACTTACCCAAAGCTCACTAACTTAACATAAATGAGTTCTCAAGTGTTGAATTTTCTTCAGATATCAGAGCAAGAATGGTGTGTGTGTGTATGTATATATGTACATATATATTAAAAAAAAAGCTAATGCACTTTCCCTTGTATAAAAACAGTGGTATACACAATCCCTTCTATGGCTGTTGAATTTCTTTCCTTCTATGCTGTAAATATGGATTGTATTATGAAACACTATGAAATTTGTGGTGCAATATGTTTTGGATTAAAACTCTAATCTTGATTTCTTTCTTTTTCTTTGTCGTCCTGATTGTGTCCACTGGGATGCTACAGCTGTTTGAAACAGTTTTAAAGCATTGAAGCAAAACTTATCTTTGACCTGTGCTAAGATTGTAGTTGTGAGATTAAGGCCTGTTTCTCATAGGGAATTAGGCCAGGAATGAGGTAGGGTGCTTCTGCCTCCTGAAATCATCTCTAGGGGCAGCTGCTACTTGTGCTCTTAGCAGGTGCTAAATCCAGGCTGGCTGGATTACAGCCTCCCTTTGCAGCTGTGTCAGTTGGAAGCAGGGCCCAGGCTCTGTGCAGCCAAAACCAGAGCACTGAGCGAGGCTGCTGGAGCAGCCAGCACAGCTCAGTTTGAAGACAAAGTTTGGAAGGAGTTGGAAGTGAGTGCTCATGCAGAGGTGGGCACTTAGCTTAGAAATGCTATTACTGCAGGCTTGATTTTTGAGTGTCATATTTAAGAGTAAGCCAAAAACTGCCTTAACTTGTATGATCCAAGAACTTTATTGATGCAGCAGGCACTTTACAATGAAACCAACCCCATGGTCCAGCTGTCCTCTGACTGTCTCTCTCTATATACACACACACATATATACAAAATCATCTTGCTAATAAACCCTTCTCCCATTCATAAACCGTCAGAACCTTGCATCTGTGAAGACCATAGCTCCCTCTTAAATAAGCAGTACAGACAGGATCTTGGATCACCACACTTTGATAAAGCGACATCTGAAAATACCTGCTCGCTTTCAGTAGTAGGAGGCAGGAGTTTGCCTTCTCTCTGCCTTAAAAGAAGCAATCAGGAGAATGTCTTGGCTCCTGTATGTGATAGTCAGAATATACAGGAATACCTTTACTCTTTTCCCACTTCAGTGTTAAAAGCAGTCCAAGAGGAGGTTTCCATAGTATTTCAGTAGATTGCAATCTCTAATCAAGAAGGACCAGCGTCATTTCAGCTACTTCTTCTTCTGGGTCCAAAACCGATGGTTGTCTTGGTTGGAATTAATAGTCTTTAAACAGTCTTTCTTGCTGTAAGAACTCTTACTATGGAACCTAGTCCACCTACTGCTAATGCCTGTGGGTGAGAGGAGACAAGATCAGTGTTACAGTCGCACAGCCAGTGGCTCTCATAGGCTGTGCCTCACTCTTTTGTTCTCAAAACCTAACAACAGTTACTTGTGGAAAGCAAAGAAGTTTTTTTTCCCGGAACATGCAGACATTAGACATGTTTCAAATAGTTCTAGATACTCAACTTCACTGCACAGCATCAGGTTTCCATGATAAAACCTTCACTGCTCTTCACAGCCTGCAGGGCTGGCAGTGGTTCTGCCGGTACGACTGTTCCATCACACGAAACACGCGCTGTGCTGGTTAACTCCTAAGCAATTTTCTATGCTAATTGCTACCACCAGAGCAGGAAATTCAGTTCTCACGTTGTTCCACCCCTCCATGTCTGTGCAGGTGCCTTCTGCACGGCTTACACCTTCAGCTTCCTTCGGTAATAAGTTCTATGTCCACACGCTTATTCCTTTGTCATGTTCAGCTCCTTACCTGTTCCTGTCCTGTGCCATGATCTTGGGAACTCTATGCCCCCTATCCTCTGTGGACTTACACAGATGAGTGCCGCCTTTGACCCAGGTCTTAGCGGTACGTAGGCAGTACTGCTCTATAAATGCAGGAAGCGAGGAAACGAAGGGCAAACAAAACATGGCAAAACATCCCACTAAATGTGTGTACTTTAACCTGTACATTCTCCAAAACCTTACATGCATCTAGATGACTTGCATCTAGTGAAGGACAGGGTGTCACTGATGATGCAGAATGCCTCACACCCCTTCTGTTCCTGAATGAGGAAAGGAGGAAGGGCTTGGTGTGGTTTCATTTGCATCCTTAATGTAAATGAAACATCTTTCTAAAGTCAAGGAGAAGGATGCAAGGACTGCTCAGATCAGTGCCAGACCTGATGGACACAGATGGCACTGGGCCATTCCAGGGGACAGGCAGCTGAGCTGCGTGTCCTACCTGTGCTGCTGGAAAGCAGCGCCCAGCCCACTGCAAACCTGTCATATTCCTTTCAAAACGAAGAGATGCTTGCATGTGTCTACATGTTCTGGGCACTGACTTCTTTCCAGTCAGGGCAGTCTTGTGTAATGTTACATACTGGGAGCATCAACCTGTGGTGACCCAAAAACAGCCTCCAGTGGGAAGAACGCCACAAAATGTCAAGTATGTTCCTTCCTGGGAAATTTTCTCCTCCTCCTGCCCATCAATATTCCACAAGGCTGGGGACAGCTGCTAGCGGCTGGAGTCACCACTGCACAACCTCTGTCTTAACTCCTCACAAGAAGGAAGCACACCTTTGCAAACAACCAACCAGCAGCCAGCTGTGAGCACAGCACATCCTTTCCTGCGACCCTTCCGCAGAAATACCAGAGTGCCTCTGTGGGTTCCACTGGAACCTTGAGAGACATCCAAAGACTTTACTGTGCAAACTAAACAGGTCTGCTATATCCTGATAAATTTGGATATGTACTCTGTCACAGCACTTCACTGATAAAAAATGTCACACCTGAGCCGTCCTGGGCATCCCATGAGCCCAAGGGCACCTTTCAAACAATTACACCTCCACTTCCAGTTCTTGCTCCTTGTTGGGGGAAACCACCAGCAGACAGAACGCACAATGCTTCCTGCAGCAGACACTGCTCTGCCACTCCCCACCCCTCCTGGCTGAGGAAAGCTCTGCAGTACCAGCAGAAGCTTGGCAGAAGCTTTGGAAGCCCAACCTTAAGAGACCAAAGACAAAAGGCAGCACCAAGCACTGCTCCTCAGGGGAGGATTGCCCTCATTGCACAGCTCTCTTTCGGGGGGTTCTCCTGAAAGCACTGATGGCAACTGGAGAGCCCAAAGCAAGCACTCACCTTTTCATGCCACTGGAGTAATATTGCACTGCTATTTTCTGTCGGCTTTTCAAATCCTTTATAAATATACTTCATTAACAAGTCAATACCATTTCTGTCTAAGGAGTTCACCGCTTGTTCGATTTCACTGCTTTTAAAAGACGTGAGGACTTTGAGCATGGTTCCCTGCGCCTGCTCCTGCACAGAAAGGAAAGCGCCGTTAGGATCAGCGAAGCCGGACGCGACCCCGAGAGCCGCGTGCAGCAAAGCGCCCGGAGCAGCGGCTGCGCTGCCGGTGGTGAAGATGCTGCAGCCAAACAGGAGAACATTTTGCACCTTAAGTTTCCGTAGTGAGAAGACAGAAGGGAAGAGCTCTTTAAAACCGGACTTATTGGTACTCCTACCTCGGGAGAGCCACCCGGAGCGCACTGCAGAATTGCCTGCAACAAATCTACAGTCTGAGACTAATGTCGTGCTTCTGCAGCACACTACGAGACCCCCTCGGAGGTACTTCAGGACTTCCTCTCTCAGCCATCGGTTGCTACCGGCGCGTTTCCCCGCACCTCGGGACGCCGCCCATTACCGGCGCGGATCCCGGGCCGCACTCACCTTCAGGGCCGCGCTGCGCGTCTGGGCGGGGGCGCTCCGCAGGGCCGCGTGCAGCGCGCGCAGCGCTTCGCCTCTACGGCGCGAGTCAAGGAGTAACGGCGGCACCGGGAGCCCCGGACACGGCGCGACCCGGAGAGGGGGGAGGGGAGGAGGCCGCCGGGCCAGGGGGAAGCGGCAGCCGAAACTGCGGCCGCCGGGCGGTAGCGGCGCGGGACGGGGCCGCGGCGGTACGGAGGGCGGCACCGGGCAGCCGCAGGCCGCGCCCCCGCCCCGGTAACGTTCCCGGGACTCCCGACGGCAGCGCGGGCCGGGCCGGACCCGCCCGAAGGATACTGCCTCAGCAGCGCCTCCACCTCGGGGCTCGCGTCGGGCTCGGCCGCCGCCGCCTCTTCGGGCTCCTCCACGAACCGGTTCTCGTCGTACTGATCGATGTCGAGGCGGCGGAAGCGGGACGAGAGCGTGCTCCGCGCCATGCCGTCGGAACCGGAACCGCCTCCGCCGCTCCGCCTGGCCGGAACCGGAAGCGCAGAGCCCGCCCCGTCCCGCCCGGGGCGAGAAGGGAGCGGAGGGCGCCCCCCGCCGGCCCGGCCCGCACAGCGCCACCCGCCGCACGGAGAGGACGCGCGACTGAAAAATCAGAACGATTCCTTTAATGTACGAAGGGAGGGGCGGCGGAGCACCGAGCGGCGCGCGGCGATGCGGCCCGACGGCCCCGGCTGCGGGAACTTTGCTGCTGAAACCTCTTGAAATCTACCGGAAACAAAAAAGCTCAGGGATGAGCGCGGCCCCGGGCGCCGCTGCCGTCGAACGGAAACGCTTCGTCTCGGCCCGGCGTGCGGCGCTCGGAATGCCGCAGGCGCGGTGCAGCTCCGCCCAAATCAATCCAGGGGAGGAGGGGAAAAAAGGAAATCGCTACAGACACCGTAATGCACAATAAATTTAGATAATTTAAAAATAAAAAAGGCAAGAGGCAGCATTTCAGCAGCAAAGTGCTCAATAAAAAGTATATTGTCAAGGGGCAGAAGGAGGGGCGGGGGCAGCAGGCGGGGGCGGCTCAGAGGAAGTAGGGGGTGGTTGTCCTGGGAGGGATCACTCGTTCTGAGTCTGGGACTGCGCGGAATAGCTTTGGTTCTCTTGTATTTACATCTTTAAAGACCATGATTGAAGCAATGTTTCCGCAGCGATAGCAGTAATTGGGAGCAGACCACACCGTGACCAATTTCTCATCAAACATGAACTTATAGCCTTCGTGAACCAGCTGATGTGCTCTGCAGATGAGTTTCAGGTTGTTGATGTGGACAAACTGCAAAGAAAAAAGGTGCGTCAGAACTCTGCGAGGGCCCAGCAGCAGCTCCTGCCTTGCAGCCCTCCTGCAGCTCTGCTGGGCTCATCTGTGGGCTGCAGCACTGAGGTGCAGGCTGTGCTAAGGACGCTCCCTGTGCTCCCAGTGCAGCGCTGCTGCCCCCAGCCACATGCAAGGATCCCCCAGTGCCCAGCGCCCCCAGCAGCACCCCCAGAGCTGGGACTGAGCGGACGGTGCTGGAAGCAAACCTCTCCTCTCAGAGCACAGAAAAGGCAGCTTTGGGTTTTGAAACCTGAACAGTGAGAAACAGCCGTGGTGCCTGGGCCTGTGCTGCCCACACCTTTCAGTCCTTCCTGAATATGCTGCAGAGGACCACAGAGAACAATGCACAGCATGACTCAGGAATTCATCTTAGGGCTGGTTCAGAAGCCTGGGAAGTTCAATGGGTCTTAGCCTCAAGAAGCCTGCTTACTATGTTGCAAAGTAACACAAATTAAGTCAAAGATTGTTAACAAAAATAGTATTTCTTCTTCCAAATCATTAGAAAAGTATTCTACATAAAGCCTAGTAATTCTAGTTATACTTTTTAAAATCAAGATCTGTGTATTATCTCACTTGGCACTTTTTCAAGGGACAACAATAAGTGTTCACCTCCACACCAACTCCCAGCTCCCTCACAAGGAAAGTTCCTTAATCCACCCATCACTACAGTAAAGCTTTGTCTCACACCTGCAATTATGGAACGCGGCACAGAATCACATCATTACCTCATTGGTCACCTTGGCACCAAACAGCCAACCCGCTCCTCGCGGGCTGATGGCCCACGTGTCCACATCTTCTGGATCAGACCAAACCAGGTCACAGAAGGCGCCTTTATGAGGAATTTCTTGATTACGTTCAATGGTTCGAATCTGATCGAGTGTCTTGATGTCTGGAGACAAGCCTCCGTGCACACAGAGAATCTGCTCATCTATTAACTGGAGAGAAAACACAAAACACTGGGTATTTCAGCCCAACCCAGAACCTCTCTAGCAGGACCTTAGAGGCCACCAATTCTATACGTTATATTTAGACAATCTACTCGCATCTTTTTAGTGAGGTGTTCACACTTACAGCTGCTATTGTGAGCATGTCAAAGACTTTGGTACAGTATCTCCAAGCATTAGCATTCCCGTATTTGGTTTGGCACTCATCTGTTAAATAGAGAATGTTTTTCTTCTTAGCAGACCAGAAGAAATTCAGACAATATGATCAGAGTCAAACAGAACAGGACTTGAAAAGGCAGATGTAAAACAAAAAGGAAACAAACAAATAAAAAACAGCTGGGAGCAACCAGTAAGCGCTGGGTGGAAAGCACTCTTCACTGTTTCTGTGGTCCACCAGCAGGGAGAGGACCTCAGTACCTACTGCTTTTTCTTACTTCAGCAACGGAGAAAAAAGCAACACAACTGACAGCACCTTAGCAGTTTCCCACCGACTGCCTGGGAACGGCCCCTCAGCTCACCCAGCAGTGTTTATACTGATTATATGATCGCGCTTCATGCAAGAGATGTGAGGCAGAAACAGGGAACCCATTAGGGCTAATTAAAGTCCTCTTCACTATGAATAAGTGCTACGGTAGCTTCGTTTACAGCTATACAAATATATCAATAAAACTGATGGACAAGTATTTCTTTGGAGCCTCATGAGGCTTATAAATGTTTATATATGCTCTTGTTGACACACTATGGCACGTTATCCAGAAGAAAGCAGGCTGAAGCCTGTATGTCACAATGATTTTCAGTTATACCCAAAGAGAATTATGTAGAATCTTTCATTAAAAGACACCAAAGCATATCATCAAAAAAACGCAAAGAAAAACTGAGATGCTGGAGGAAAAGATGGGCTAGAGATGGAATAAAACACCTTTACTTCTTGAGCACAACAACAGTGTTAACATTTGAGACCATTTCCCACCCAGTTCTAGGAAAGCCCCACATAGCGCTGCACACAAAGCAGATTTTAAAAGGGAAATATGAGACAGTTGTTTATGACATGCTGCCCCCCATTCAGAAATCACTTGGGTAAACTCTTACCATAAAATCCATACACTTGCGTTATCTGCCTGCTTTCGTGATTGCCTCGTAACAGCGTGATACGATCGGGCCATTTAGCTTTTAGTGCGAGAAGATAAGTGAAAGTCTCAAGACTATAGTAACCTCTATCTACAAAGTCACCCTGCAAAGTCAAAACAAAATTATAAATAAAGAAACACCAAAGCTGAAAAATGCAAAGCGACAGTCGCTTTAACTCCTCGGTGCAAGAAGAAACCTGATGCCGAAGGAGGCCTGCAGCCCACCAGGGAGGACGCGCTCTCTGCTCCCCGACCGCACAGCCGCCGCACGGGACGCCCGCCTCAGCTCCCCCCGCGGGCAGCAGCCAGGGCTGGGAAGGCACGGTGCTGCCGCCGGGGCCGGCACCCAGCACAGGTCCGGGCCCGACGCAAGCTGCGAGGGTGAGGCGCCACCGGCACGTACCATGAAGATGTAGTTGGTGTCAGGCACCTGCCCGCCGGTCCGGAACAGCTCGCACAGGTCGTAGAACTGCGGAATGGGGCACACGTCAGCGCGGGCAGCGGCACCGAGCACTGAGGCGTGTCCCGGCGCCGCGCCGTTACCTGCCCGTGGATGTCCCCGCAGACGGTGACGGGCGTGGAGACGGGCTGCACGTTGGACTCCTCCAGCAGCAGGTCGCACACGTAGTCGCACAGGCGCTGCGAGAGCACAGTGGGTAGCACCACCACCGCCGCCGCCAGCAGCACCGGGAGAGTACCGGTACCGGCACCGGCACCGTCCGCCGCCGCCCGTCCGACCCCGCCCCACCCCGCCCGCGCCCACCTTGAGGTCATTCTCGGGCAGGTACTTGCAGAGCCGTGCGATCTCCACGTACTTATCCAGGTCCAGCGGCGCCATCTTGGGACGGCAGCTCGGAGCCGGAAGCGAAGCCCTCCACTTCCGGGAAGCGGCGCGGGTCTCGGACGCCAGCGGAAGTTCCGTGCACTTCCGGCCGCGCACCGGAAGGTGGCGGCTGGAGCCGAGCGGGGCCGGCCCGCGCTAAGGGCTGAGCTCAGAGCGGGTCGGCCAGGTCCCGCCATGGGGCCGCGGATGCTGCCGCTGCTGGAGCCGGGCTGCCGACCGCAGGCGGGCAAGTGGTGAGCGCGGGGGGTGCCGCGGGAGGGGGGCGGCGCGGTCCCGGCTGCCTCTCGGCGCGGCTGAGCACCGCTCGTCGCTCCCCGCAGGTACCGGCTGGCACCGCGCGGTGAATGGCCCCGCGGGCGCGTGGGCCACGGCTGCCTCTTCGTGCCGGGCGGGCCGGGCCGTGTGCTCCTCCTGGGCGGCGCCGACCCCGCGGGCGCTTTCGCGGACGCCCACTTCGTGGAGCTGGGTGAGGGCCGGGCCGGGCGGGGCGCGGGGCCGCCGCTGTCCCCCCTAACCGCGCCGCGCCCGGCCCGCAGGCGCGCATCTCTGGGCCCCGGCTGCCTGGACCGGACTGCGGCCGCGCTACGAGCACGCCACGTTCCTGTCCGCCTGCTGTCCCCCGCGCCTCTGGGTGTTCGGCGGCGCGCACCGGGCCGGGAACCGGAGCTGCGTCCAAGTGCTGGACCCCGGTGAGTGCGGACTTCGGCGAAGCGGGTGTGGGTCCTGGCCGTGGCACGGAGCGGCCCCGCGGAACTCATGCGTGTCCGCCGTGTTTGCTTTCTTAATTAGAAATAGGAACCTGGGAGAGTCCCGAGGTGAGGGGTGTGCCGCCGCTGCCCAGGACGTTCCACACCTCCTCGGCAGCTGTAGGGGACTGTCTGTATGTCTTCGGAGGGGGAGACAAAGGAGCAGAGCCGGTTAAAGACCAGCAGCTTCACGTCTTTGACACAGGTACCTCTGTGTGTCCCAGGCTGTGCCAGCAGTGGAAAGAACTGCCCACTGCACTGGAGATCTGCCTCCCAGATTTTGTCAGCCTTGGCTGCAAGTTTAAAGGGAGGGGTGAAGGTTGCTGCTGATGCGTGCTCACCTCTGTACTGTGATGGGAAATTTGGGCCGAAGTGGCAGTGTAAAGATTTGGGATGGAGAATGCTGTGGGACTTCTCGTGAACTGTTGGTATTGTTCTGTTCATTCCTATGGTCCTGCATGCACCAGAAGGGAGCCCCAGCAAGACTCAGGGGCTACTGGTTTGTAGAGCTATCAGTTTTCCTCCTCATACACACACATTCTCATTTTTCAGTTGCTTTGACATGGACTCAGCCTGAAACCTACGGCGATCCCCCTTCTCCTCGGCATGGACATGTTGTTGTTGCAGCTGGGACCAAGCTTTTCATACATGGAGGTTTAGCTGGTGATATTTTTTACAATGATCTGTTCTGCATTGATACAAGTAAGAAGGGCCATAAGTATCTTAGAACAATAGCTGTGCTATGATGTGTTTTACTTTGTTTTGTTTGTTTCTTTTTGTTTTGTTTAATAATGCATAACCAATAACTGTTCTTTTTGTCCAACAGCAGACATGAAGTGGGTTAAGATAGCAGCCACTGGTGATGTGCCAGGAGGACGGGCCTCCCACTCGTCGGCTGTGTTTAAAGACCACTTATACATTTTTGGTGGAATAGGTCCAGATGGGACACTGGATACTACATACAAGTACCATATAGGTAGGGAGACTTCTCTCAGCTTTGTAATGGTAAACGCCAGTCTGTTTGAAAATACATTGTGGTTAATAACAATTGTGTTAAGTGATGTTTTAAGATGTGAATGTATTTTTGTACTGCAGAGGAGCAGCAGTGGACACTCCTGCAGTTTGATTCTCCTCTGCCCGCTGGGAGACTGGATCATGCCATGTGTGTCATTCCTTGGCGGGCTGGCAACAACGCTGACTCAGGAGCTGTCAGTAGGGAAGGTAAAGCTGAGCCAGCTGCATCAGCTGGTGACAGAGCTGACCACCTGTGCAGAGGCCAGGATGAGAAGACACGTACTGAAGACACAGTGATGCATCTGCTGTTAATATTTGGTGGGATGGATACTCAAGCAGAGATATATAGGGACTGCATTGTAAGTTTGATTGAATAGTCCAGCTGCAGCCCTTCACAGCACCATCCCTTTCCTTACAAGTTTTCTGTAGCAGTGTCTGATTAAGTTCACTATTTCCAATAAACAAATTCTTGCCCTCATAAGGGTGGCAGTCCTGCTTTCTGTGTGCAGTCATGCTTTCAAGTAGGTACGTCAGCCCCTTCGGAAGGCTGCAGCTGCTGTGGTTTCAGCAGCTTCTTGGCTTCTGTGTTGCTGGAAGGTGAAAAGCTGGGGGTTGCAGAGGTTTTGGGCAGCTTTCTCCCTGAAGCTCACATGCTCCTAGTTGACTATAAAGCTACTTCCACTTGCAAAACTGAGGTTATCTGCAAAGATCTGGGAGATAATTAAGGGCATTTGTCTTATACTATTTTGAAAAGAAGTGAATGAGAAACCCCTGACTCTCCTGCATCAGAAAAGCCACCTTTCAAAGTAGGGAGAGCTGGACTTGCTACTTGTGTTACTGCATTTGGGAACCACTGTTCTCATGTGTAAAGACTGACCTTGAGGTGGCTGTTTCCAGTTTTTGGTGCAGGCTGTGTTTTTTTTTTCCCTTCAGAAAAGTCAATTGATAGATGAGCGTTGTCCCCGCTTTACCAGTTCAGGTTTAACAGGGTACCTTTCTCTCCTCCAGGTTACTGTTACAAGCGCTTGTAACCCTTGGGTGCTCAGGTTAACCCCTCGGCTTTTTGCTTTGTAACAAATGTATGGTGTAATTAGCTGGGAGCACAATGCTACACTGTAGGAACAATGCAGTGCTTGTAAGTAGTTCTCATTCCAATAATGGCACCAAGTCCACGCTTCTGGAGCTGTTTGCTACAGCCTGTTTGATGTTAAAAAAAAAATCTACAAAAAAGGAGAGGACTGGAACCATCTTTTAGCACCAAGCAGATTCAGCATAGTTGAGCTTGAAAGCTTTTGCAGCCTTCTTTGTATTAAGCCTTTAGGACAGCTAACCTGAACTCAGTCAATACAAATTATAAGCTACAACAAAATCCAGTGTAAATAACAAATTTATTGTGGTCACTTCAGGTAGAAAAGTTCTACACCAAATTCACATGACCGAGCTGTTAAATAGAATGCTTCCATGGCCAATATTTCTAAACCCATTTCTCATTTACATTCCCACCCCTGCTACCCTTCCCTCCCCAGACATCAAGCAACTGCTAACGAAACGCAGTAAACAGCCACTTTGGGCCAGCATTTCCAGCTCCACTCACAGGTGAAGATTCAAAGTTACATTCCAAATTAAGAGTTCAATATTTTAACAAGTGTTCCTGAGTCCAATATATACACACACAACATTCAGAGATGCCAGTATCTACAACTCATCCTTCTCTGCTGCTTCTTCTTCACCAGTGGGAGGGGGGCCTGCACTTCCATACAGCTTGCTAACAATTGGCTGAACAATTTCCTCTAGCTCCTTCTTCTTTGATTTGAAGTCTTCAATGTCTGCATCCTGATGGCTTTCAAGCCACTCTATCTTTTCCTCCACTGCCTTTTCTATCGTTTCTTTGTCTTCAGAGGACAGCTTGCCACCCAGCTTCTCTTTGTCCCCAATCTGATTCTTCAAAGAATACGCATAGCTCTCCAGCTCATTCCGGGCATCAATGCGTTCTTTAAGCTTTTTGTCTTCCTCAGCAAACTTCTCAGCATCATTAACCATCCTCTCAATCTCCTCTGGTGTAAGCCGATTCTGATCATTTGTAATTGTGATCTTGTTTTTGTTCCCAGTGCCCTTGTCTTCAGCTGTGACACGAAGGATTCCATTCACATCTATTTCAAAGGTAACTTCAATCTGTGGGACGCCACGAGGAGCAGGAGGGATTCCAGTCAGATCAAAAGTTCCCAGGAGATGGTTGTCCTTGGTGAGGGGACGCTCACCTAAAACAACAGGTTGATACAGTTTCATGCACTAACCTTTGTTTGCATTTTGTGCAACACCTGACTCGAGGTGCATGCTTTCCAAAGCTGAGGTTTTAATTCCAACCTGATGTCTGTCTTAGATGCCTACAGTACCTTACTCTGAAGAGAAGCCCTTTCAATCACAACTACTGAAAAACTATTTGAAAAGAACCACAGGAATAGCTTTTGAGTTCAAGCTGTCTCAGTTGGTGAACAGTCTGAGCTAACACTGTTATCAAGCTTCTCTGTATGGAGATGTGCATAAGCTTCTTGACAGCACCACACAGCCTTCTGACAAGGCAAGCATAAATCTGAATGAGAAAGTTCAGCTCTAGGGCACTTACCTTCATAGACCTTAATTGTCACAGTTGGCTGATTGTCAGAAGCTGTGGAGAAGATCTGAGACTTCTTTGTAGGAACAACAGTATTTCTTGGGATCAATTTAGTCATTACACCTCCAACTGTCTCAATGCCAAGTGTCAGAGGACACACATCAAGCAACACCAGATCACCTGTAAAAAAGATTGTGCATCAGAGCATGACTGACTTCAGCTCCTCTTTGCAGAAGCATAACAGCCTATCACTGGCAACAGCAGTCTGAGTTAGAGACATTAAGCTTCTTATGATTGTGAAAACTCAATTCTATCACTTGCCAACAATACTATTTGTTGTCATTACCTGTGTCTTGGTCCCCAGAGAGAACACCAGCCTGAACAGCTGCACCATAGGCTACAGCCTCATCTGGATTAATGCCACGAGAAGGCTCCTTCCCATTGAAGAACTCTTTAACAAGTTGCTGTATTTTGGGGATGCGAGTAGAACCACCAACAAGAACAATCTCATCAATATCAGACTTCTTTAGGTCAGAGTCTTCCAGAACTTTCTGAACAGGCTTCATTGTAGAACGGAACAGATCCTAGAAAGAAGAAAGTTAGAACAGTAAGATCGCATTCCCACGCCCGTTTTCAAAACTAAGCACCCTTAGGGTACCAAGAATTAGAGTGATCATCAAGAGGCTCATCGTCAGCCTTCCTAAGACCTTAGCTGTCAGTAACATGCTGAGTCCCAAACACCCTGGGAAGTAACTTCCTGCTTTTTTATTCAAGTAGCAAGTTATTTTTACTCTGTTTAAATGTAACTAAGTTAGGTGAAACAGCACACCACCGCTAGCAAGTCACTAATTTGGAGCTCAGGGAATGTAGCTTTAGCTTTGTAACCTTACCATATTCAGTTCTTCAAATTTGGCACGAGTAAGAGTCTCGGAGAAATCCTCTCCTTCAAAAAAGGATTCTATTTCAATTCTAGCTTGGTGCTGGGATGACAGGGCTCGCTTTGCTTTCTCTACTTCCCGTCTTAGTTTCTGTACAGCTCTGTTATCCTTCCTGACATCTTTTCCAGTCTTCTTCTTGTAGAGCTTGATGAAGTGTTCCATAACACGTTGGTCGAAGTCTTCTCCACCCAGGTGTGTGTCACCATTGGTAGCCACAACTTCAAAGACTCCATTGTCAATTGTCAGGAGGGAGACATCAAAAGTTCCACCACCCAGGTCAAATACAAGGATGTTCTTCTCACCCTCTCTCTTGTCCAATCCATATGCAATGGCAGCAGCTGTTCTGTATAGAAGTAACCAGATCAGGAAACTTTTGATTACCAAACCCCATTCCCAAATAACCAGCAGGCAAGGTAGTTTAGGCTACTTACGGCTCATTAATAATGCGCATCACGTTCAATCCAGCAATTGTACCAGCATCTTTTGTAGCCTGACGCTGAGCATCATTGAAGTAGGCTGGCACGGTAACAACAGCATGAGTAACCTGCAGAAAATAAAACAATTAGATTAAGGAAAGCTATATACCTTAGAAATAATCTTATCACTTCTGATAGCAAGAAATCATTTTAGCTGAGCCCAGCCAACTGGGCTGCCTAAGAAGCCAACAGCACTGAACAAAGTCTGGGACCGCAAGGTTATCCTTAGCTTTTTTAAAACTGTTTTAAGTTCCTGTTATAAATATTCAAACTTACTTTCTTCCCCAGATAAGCCTCTGCAGTTTCTTTCATCTTTGTCAGGACCATGGCAGAAATTTCTTCTGGAGCAAATGTTTTTGTTTGTCCACCACCGACATCAACCTGAATATGCGGCTTAGCTTTCTTTTCAACAACCTGAAATGAGAAACAGACTGGTATATTCCAGGTGTTCTTAAGCATAGAGTCTGTACTCTAGACATCAACAGCCCTTCTTAAGAAGGCTATAAAACCACAGACTGCTCAGAACGGCACTGCTATTTACCAACCATACCCCTCCCCTCCCCCCCCCAAGTCAAGAGAGATGCACAGCTCCTGCAGCCCACTCCTGACCACAAAAGCTAGAACCCTGCCACCACCACCCCACTCCTATTCAAGAGGCACACCTTGAAGGGCAGATACTTGATGTCCTGCTGCACCGAGGGGTCATTCCAGGTGCGGCCTATGAGCCGCTTGGCATCAAACACAGTGTTCTCAGGGTTGGATGTCAGCTGGTTCTTGGCCGCATCCCCTATCAGGCGCTCCCCCTCAGGCGTGAATGCCACGTAGGATGGAGTGATGCGATTCCCCTGGTCATTGGCGATGATTTCCACGCGGCCGTTCTTGAAGACACCCACGCTGAAGGAGAAATGGAGCAGTCAGACGGCACAGGAGTACAGTTCCCTCACCCTGCTCTTGCCAGTCCCCTCCCCGGAGCCCACAGCTCCTTCATCTCTTCCTCTCTCTCTCCCTCCCTACCTCCCACCCGCCCTCTTCCCCCCACCCAGCCACTCACCCCAGCCCCCCCCCACCCCGATCCCCACGTCCGCGATGCCCGTCCCCACAACAGACGGTTCCTTACGCACCAAGAATAGGTCGTGCCGAGGTCGATGCCCACCACCGTGCCCACGTCCTCCTTTTTCTCTTCATCGTCCGCCCGCGCGCCGCCCAGCAGCAGCAGCGCCAACAGGAGGTGCCTCATGCCGCCCGTTCGCTGCCCTACCAAGGAACGGCAGTCACAAAATGGAGGCGCCACATGAGCGGCGCGACCCAATCCGACCTCACTGCCCCCCCCAACCCAAGGGGCTCAGTTCTGTTCCGCAGCCACCCCCCGCAGCC